TCAGACGTGAAACGAAATCATGAGTTCAAACACCATGTATTGAAAAACGCTACGAACATTTGTTCTAAACCTATATATATATATATATATATATATATATATATATATATATATATATATATATATTATACAAACGTTATTATAGTTGACGCTCATATTTGAAATAGACGCCACGCTTTTTTTAAACGGTGTGTATAATGTCTATCAGCCTGCGCATTCGAGAGATCTTAATAAAGAAAATGTGTTCTCTGGTAGGAATTGGCCTGAGTCCACCTTTGTAGGGGAGACCATCGTTTGATCCAGCGTGATTTACGGCTCGGCCACGAAGAACTCACAGTAAGCAAGGCTATATTATCTCTTGATTAAGATTTATTCTAATTGCTAGTCGATATATACACACTGTTTAAAATAAAAATATGTAATCTATTTCAAATACGAGTATCCACTATAACATCGTTTGAAGTAATAAAAATGTGAGATTATATATATATATATATATATATATATATATATGTGTGTGTGTGTGTGTGTGCGTGTGTGTGCGCGTGTGTGTATGGGCTTGAAAAAGCTCTTTGAAAAATAGAAATTGTATACACGTTTGAAAAAAGATTTTACGCATTTCCATACACTTAATGCACATAACAACACAGATCAGCATGTACAGCGCGTGTGTGTGTGTGTTTCTCATAATCTTTTATACACGTTTTAGTTTGTCCAAACACATATCGAATAGGAACATACCTAGGCAAACGCAACCACTTACGCTTTGGTAGAAATATGCATATATGCATCAAAGTTGAAGTTCAAATGCATATATATATATATATATATATATATATATATATATATATGTATGTATGTATATATAAATACGCACATATATATATGTAAATACGCATATATATATATATATATATATTTATGTATGTATATATATATATATATATATATATATATATATATATACGTATTTGCATATACATGCAAAAAAATGGCTAAACCATATTTATACAGAAAACGACAAAGGTCTACCCATACACACGCAAAGACACACACACACACATCTATATATATATATATATATATATATATATATATTCGTATATAAAACGTTAACAGTTGCTTGTAACAGCCGCACATAATATGTCTACTTCTGTTATATATTTGCACGTGCACTATTTTGTGTGTGCAAACACATGTACATGTTGAAGTCCACACGTGAAATTCGATTCAATCCCATCATTCTCTGGTTTGCGTGCATGCAGGTCATCTGCAATCTAATCTGTCCGTGTCAGACATCTTATTACATCCGATTTTGTGGACGCGTCTCGTCTTCTCGTTTTCAACATTTCTGGCCATAATGTAAAACCGGCCCTCTGGGGTGCCAACAAATAACAACAACAACAGCAACATCAATAATAAAAGACATTGGGAACTTTTTTTTTTAAATAATGAAAAAAGTTTCTGGAAATGTAGTAAAAAAGAAAGAAAAATGCTAGTATTTTTTTTTTCACTTTTTTCTCTCTCAGATATTTTTTCCGTTTTCGTGACTCACATACAAAACTCGAATACAGACCCCCATATCTTACAAAAAATAGTTTCTTTTTTTCAGCCAAGGATACCTGACATTTTCGTACAATATGATCCTGAAAATAATTTTGATTATGATGATGATGAGAAGAGGAGTAACGGAAGAAGAACGACAACAACGATAACAATAAATTTGACCGTACAGACCAGTGGTAGGTGCACAGATCAGAATTTATCCGAGAGGATAAAAGGTAAAATCCACAGAAATCTTGAGATTCAAATGGTTCACTCCATCCAGTCTAGAAGACAGGTTCTAGTCATCGTAAATAAAAAGAAAACAATATGGCAGATTGAGGATTTCCTTCTTTCCGCAGATCACAGAATAAATCTTAAAGAAAATGAAAAGACAGATGAACATTAGGTCATTGAATGACAAAATAAAAAAAAATCCTATGTAACGCGTTTCGATCTTTAAAAGAACTTCATCCGACCAAAATAATGTTCTTATTGTTCGAACCATATATATGAACGTGAAAAGGGGAAATATGAACGGCAAAGGCCGGTAATGATTGTGCACAAAGGAGAAACGCTGAAGATGTAGGGACGTAATATTTTAAAATCTCTGACGTCCGACGTGTGTAGACGCAACAACTCAGCCGATTTCATTTCGTTTTCCAACGCTTTTGTTTTGGCCATTATCGTTATAATTTTTAAGTACTCCACATTACGGTAACAAAAGATTTTTTAAGAAAGGGGCAATCTTATAAGAACTCGAACGCGAATTTTCAAAGTAAGTAACAGGATTCAGTACAATAATAATAATAATAATAATAATAATAATAATAATAATAATAATCGCCGTCTTTAAAAAATGACTTCTCATATAAATTGGTGCCTTTGTAGGGAGTATGGACTTGAAGCCAACGAGATATGTCACTGACACAAGCCATAGAAGTTGAGCAAGAACGACCAAGTCAACATCTTGTGGCATTTCAACATCCAAACAGACCGCGTCTTCTTGGCCATCAGACCAGGCATCAAGAAACTATATCCTCATTGATGTGGCTATTCCTAGTGATCGTAATATCAAGGTGAAAGGAATTGATGAGCTAGAGAAATACACCAAGCTCTGAATTAAAATTGTCAAAATATCGGACGTTTAGGCCGCTAGTGTTCTATTTATCATTGGTGTCTATGCCACTGAATTGGAGAAAATCGAAATAAAGCCTAATATCCTATCGCTTCGAAAGTCTGCTGTGCTTGCAACTGCAAATATTCTTCGAAAGGTGCTCTCTGTCTAAGGTCATACAACTTGGTGGAGAACACACAGAAAGAAAAATCTTCAATTGCAAAAGAAAACCGTACAAAGAAAAAAAAAAGGTAATAATAATAATAATAAATACGGAAAATATTGAAGTCACTATTTTAGGGGAACTTTACTATTCATACTGATAGATATATACAAACTGACTGACCAGACATCGTGTTTAAAGATTCCTTATTTCCTTAGGTGCCATGCAGGATACAGTCTTGGGAGATCATGTCTCTTTTCGGCTAAGAAAATTTAGTAGACGAAATCTATACGAACCAATCTGTCCTGCTATTTAACCCACAGCTATGAAAGACGAAATGTGTTCATACCATTCCCAAGGCTATTTGTGCGTAAGTCAATGTAACGAATTCGACTGGAATTCGAACACTACACTCCGATTTCGCATCTGTCCGAGTTATCCATGATACAACCCACACATAGTAGATTACAAACACAAAATGTTGTTGAATGAATTCGGCTCAGCCATTATTAACTGTTTGTTGACTGTAAAAAAACATGTAATATTCTAGTTAAAAAAAACAAAAACATTTGTTGATCGTAACAGTAAAAGTAGTATAAAACAGCTTTGGCAGTATCATTTAGTCTATGCACCCCGTGCTATGAAGTAGACTAACCGAATTATGCACCCAGTGTTATTCTGGACTAAGTTACATTATACACTGGTGTATTCTGGGATAGTTTTAATTTAGGCGACTAAACAGGTTCAAATAAACGTTCCGCCGAGTATATTTATATGTTTAATAAGCATGAAGGTTCGAATAACAGAACCGAGAAATGTTTTGAAATGCATGCTGTACGAAATAATCGCAGTAACGGAGGTGAGGGGGGGAAGAATTTAAGGAAGCAAAGAAACTGTGTCGGCAGTTGTATTTGGTGCGCAAGGTTAGCGGAAAGAGCATGGAGAGAAAGAAAAAGAAGGAAGAGAAAGGAGATACTGTTATTAGTAAGAGGTAACCGTCAAATGAAGAGTTTTGGGAGGAAGAATATGAAAGGGAAGGAAAGAGGGAAACATGGCGGAAATGTAATGAAGATAGAGAAAGACAGGGAAAGAGAAAATATAGACAAAAAGGAAATGAAAAAAGAACAGAGAAAAGAAAAAGAAAAAAAGAAACAAGGGAAAAGAACAAAAGAAAAAGAGGAAAATAACAGAAGTAAAGAACAAGATGAAAAGAACAAGATGAAAATAAGAAGAAAAAAAGAAAAAGAGAAAATAAACAGAGAAAAGAACGAGAGAAAAAGTAAACAAACAGACGAAAAGAACAAGTGGAAAAGAACACGCGGAAAAGAAGAAGAGGAAAAGAGAAAGAAAAAATTAATAGAGAAAAAACAAGAGAAAATGAACAAGAGTAAAAGAACTAGAAGAAAAGAAAAAGAGAAAAAAGAAAAGAGGGAATGAACAGCAGGAAATGAACAAGAGAAAAAGAACCTAAGAAAGAAAACAAGAGGAAAAGAACAAAAGGAAAAGAAAATGTGAAAAAGAAACAGAATAAAAAAAAAAATTGAACAGAGAAAAAAATAAGAGAAAAAGTGAAAAAGAACAGAGGAAAAGAACAAGTAGAAAATAACAAGAGAAAAAGAAAAAGAGAAAAAGGAACAGAGAAAAAGAAGACGAGGAAAAGAAAAAGAAAAAAAAAAGAAAAGGTATCAGTGGAAAAGAAAAAGAGAAAAATGTACCAAGAAAAAGAACAGTGAAAAGAACAAGAGAAAAACAAAAAGGGGAAAAGATCAGAGGAAAAGAACGGAAAAAAGAACAAAAAGAAAAAAGCGATTGTAAAAAAACATAACGAATGTGGTTTTCCTGGTAGAAGAATGACTTTAAAAGTATATGTTTTCTTTCTTGTCTTTGCCGTTGTTCGATACAAGATTGAATTATTTTGTTTTACGACTCATCAACCTTTTACAGGTTATTTAAAGCTAGGAAATATTTTTAGATTTTAAGTACTGTTGGAGATAACAATGAGTTACTGATACAAGTCCTACTAGTTAATCCATAGCATGGGGGTGAAGAGTTAGTTTCATACCTTTCCCAATGGTGTTTGCGCCTAAGTGAAAATAACGAACACGACTAGAGTTGGAACTAGGCTCTCTGATTTCCAAGTCTGAGCCATTATCCATTACACCACCCGCACATTGAATCTTACAACTTCTGGTATTCCCAAGTAGTTACCCATCTAGGTACTGACCAGCTTTGACGTTGCTTAACTTCAGAAATCGTACGAGAACCGGTGTTTCAACATGATTCGGCCCTCTGATAAAATTGGCTAATGTGTAGCTTGAAATGGATTAGGCAATATTTGGATTTGTTGTTAAGCAACTTTTGCATCAAGACGTAGAAAATCAGAAGAGAGAAACATAAAAAGAAACAAACGTAAAAGAAAAGAAATAGTTTACAAAATGAAAGTAAGGAAATGTCGATAGAGAGTGAAAATAAGGTGGTGTTGGGAGAAAAAAGAAGAAGAGGGGGAGAAGAAAGAAAATTACAGAAACAGTAAAAGAAAGAAAGAAAAATATGATGGGTTTGAAAAAAGAAAGAAAAATGTAAACGAATGAGTAAAAGAAAGAAAATTTTATATATATATATATATATATATATATATATATATATATATATATATATATAGTGGAAATAAGCTGAAGTTTTTTTATTTAAATAGTGAGCCAGAACCGAATAGAGTACGGACCTTTGCCGCTATTGTTTGTGAGCAGTACTTGCAAGGTCTTTACATACAAATCCAAGATGGACTACTTCAAACAAAGCAGTGAAAACTAAATTTTAGACTAAGTAATTTTTCATAGTCCGCTTCCTCAAACTTTTGTGTAGCAGGTGACCACATTAGAATAGCACCCGGTTAGGATTGATAGTAGTATATAAGCAAATTACTCTGATATACAATATCGCTGACCATTGCTCAACAGTAGGTGCCCATATTTTTAGAAATATATTTATGCTTACATGTTTGTTTCTAAAAGGATTAACTTGCATTATAACTTACCAATATTTAACGATCTGCATCCGATTCATTTGAAAGGTTATCACAAGAAAGATACGTTTAAAATGACTAAGAAAACATCATGCAATGAAAAAGAACCCCCCGCAAAAAATAAAATAAAATGAAAACAGTAAAACGGGCTATGTCAGACATTTTATATCGAATTACCAAAGTCAGTGCGTAATATCTTCGAGTTTTGGGCCCGATGGTGGTTATTAGCTCAATGGAGATTTCGTATAAGTGTCCAGAAGTATTGATGGGAGACGCGAGTAGACGATGGCGTATCGAAAACAGATTAAAACTAATAATGTTCTACTGACCTCTGATCTTTTAGTTCGTCATTCATGGTTGAGGGTTAGTTGTTAGGAAAATCTGTCATTTGTGACATTTGGAAGAGAACGGTTGAGAGTAAAATGTGAACGGTAGAAAAAGATGGCGGCCAATCAGAAAATGAAAGAAAAGAAAAGTGAAAATCGAAGAAATATTATATCTCGATAAGAAAGAGATGTAAAAAAAATCAGGTAGAGGAGGATGGTGAGACGGAAAAGGATGAGATAGAAGAAAAAAAGGAAGGAAATAGATATAAGAGGAGGAGGAGGAGGAGAAAGGATATAGAAAGAGAAGGAAAGGAAATGTAAAGAGAGAAACAAACAAAAAGAAAGAAAAAAGAGCATAAATAATTAGAAAAGGCTAAGCGTCTAAAAATGACGGTCGATATGGAATAAGCTTATCTTGGTGGTGGTGACTTAACGGAAGAATGTTTCTGAAAGGTTTCATGATATAAAAAGAAATAAGTTTAATAGACTAGAAAATGTTTTTCTACAGTTTTGTATTAGTAGAGACATACACTGAATTTTCAATCCTAATTTAAGTCACTTAATACAAAATAGAATATGCGAGTACCGTCAAAATCGGCGAGTCGAGTTCAAATTTCGGCTTTGTCTGTTGTTTTACACTTTCGCACTAATGCTCCTGTGAAAGGCATGGACTCAATATCATTGTCGGTTCGAATCTTCAGCTATGAGTGAAGCCAGTCTAAGAGAAGGAATACTCTGAATAGAAAACAACGAGAAACCACTTCACTATCTTTTCCAAGAATTCATTGATATTTTTACAGATAATACAAGAATCACGTACATATACAAATTCAAAAATCAGATGATGTGAGGGGTGGTGATAGGAGAATTTTGCATATATTGTGCATATAGGTAATATAATCTGTCTTATCATCATAATAGTCTTAATAATCGAACGGTGGGGCGGAATCTTTCTTCATATGCAATAAAAGGTCTTAAGTAAAAAAAAAAAAAAAAAAAAACGGAGTCGGAAAATTTTGTCTACGAGGTTGGATGATTTTGTTTAGTGTCATATCAAACCTCTTTGGGTTATTTAATGCCAAAATCCAAATATTTAAAACAATTATATACCTTCAACTAAATATATTTTGGATACATTTGTATGCCTTTAACTACAGATAAAATGTATTATTCGCCATTTTGCTATAAATATGTATTGTTGGTAATTCTACTATGAAATGTATTGAGAGTCATTTTGCATTAAAATTGTTTTCTTGATGAATTTACAATAAAAATTCGTATTGTAGGTGACTTTATATAAATATGTATCGCTGGAAATTCTAATATAAAAAACGTATTTTTATATTTTCGTAGTGTTTTATTTTTATTTGAGGGTTCACTATTTTCTCATAACTGGGACCCTAACAGGTGCTACCACCCTCGGGTCAGGGTTAACCTGGGAACAACAGCAATTAAGAGGTGGCTTCCCGATCAGAGGTTTTGCTGCTTACAGTTGTCATTCCCAGGACTAGTCTACGAGGTAGATTCTGTCTGCTTAGAAAATCAATATTCAAAATCCTGACTTGTACCAGGGCATAAACATGGGATTTTGGCACTAATAGGAAACTATCAATTTCACATGCATTATGACGATAAAATTACTAAGCTACGAGATATTTTACTAAAGTTCGCAGAATTTGAAGAACGCACGCAAAGTGGAAATCATTCATTATATTATATATATATATATATATATATATATATATATATATATATATATATATATATATATATATATATGGGTTATGACTTTTGACTGTAAAATAACTGATTTCCTGTATCCTAATTCGGTGAACAGTTTTCTTGTCCTTACAGCTTTTCATATTTTAAAACGAAGTGTGCAGCGAAAAACACTATGCTCAATTCCACGAAACAGTCTTCAAAAAAGAAAATAAGGACAGAAGAAAAACTGAATAAAATCTCAAAATATTTCTTGTCTTATTTTCATCAATCCGCTTTTCTTGACTTTTCCGTCTCACTTCTTTTCCACCCCTGTATCTTTTCCGCCCACTCGTTCATCTTCCCTTGCTTTTCTTTCTTCAAGATTTCTCACTTCTCCTTATTCTCGTCTTTTCTATTCTGTCTTAACTCTAGTAGGTCATGTAAATATCCAACTCAACTTTGTACTCGTATTAGCTTGGCCAACGTCTTTTCCATTCCGCCTTGAGGGCCCTGCCGATGTCCAACTCGGCTTCGCAATCGTATTAGCTTGGTCAATCTCATATCTTTAGAAATTATATCTCATCTTAGATGTGGCACAAGGCTGCAATTACCCACCGAACTCACTAGTCACTTGTAATTGATCTAATTGATCGTTAAAGTGCACTCAACAAATAGCGTATATGTATAGCTTAAATGTGGCATAAGGCCGAAAGTATGAAAATCCCACATGTTTTACTTAGCTTTGGCACATGGAGCAACCAGTGAGCAATTAAGTAATTTACAATGCTTAGATGCGGCAGTGAATTCGATGCTCCATACTTTCGGCCTTGTATCATAACATAGATGTGACACAAGGCCGAAGGTATGGAGCACTTAGTGAGGATCGAATTCACTACTCAGTTGTAATTGATCTAGCGAGACAAGCTCGCTAACCATTACTCCACGTCAAAGTGATCCCTGGGAATTATTTACTTATTTTCTAAGCAAAGCTTAGATATGGCACAAGGCCGAAAGAATGGGGTACCTAGTGAGGATCGAACTTACATTTCAGTGATAAATGATCTAGCTGGACAAGTTTGCTAACCATTACACCACGCCGAGGAACCCATGGGAATTATTTAAGAATACCCTCAATGTTTCTGTAAATTTATATATTTTCCTACTACCCCATCTACCCAAAAAATAAAAAAAAAAATTATTCACGTTCCCACGAGGTGGGGGACGTGTATTAATCAGTATTAATAGAGCGCCAATGAATTCAGTAATCTCTAAGACTGAATAACTGAATACTACTCCACGGTAAGGAGCCGACCATTATTCTAAATTAATTTAGAATATACTGATGTTTTTACTCGAATGGAACATATTGTTGGTGCTTTGAAAACTGAGAGAACTTTGTTCATATTAAATAATATATAAGTTAGTAGAAAAATGTAGTAATAAAAAATGTTTGCATTTTGCAACCAATGATCAGGAGAGTCACATTGTTATGGTATTCACCACAAAACCACCACCACCACCACCATCATCATCATCATTATTATTAGTAGTAGTAATAGTAGTACGGTTTTCTTTTTCAACCGGAGATGTCGCATTATTGGTGCTCTCCATGAAGTCGCATCACCTCATCCATATTTACAAAAAAAAACAAAAACAAAAAAAAAACAAAACAAAAAAATCAATTAATCTTGCTCAATTAATTCAAACAAAAGAATTGTAATAAAAGTGAAGGCTGTAAAATGCACCCAAGAAACCAGTGCGAACTTGTGACGCTTTATGGTCCATAATAACCCCTACTATCATCTATGGATACAATCTTATTAATGAAATAATAGATAGCGGCTCGGATTGAGGAATCGGAGAGCCGAGTTCGAATTCCATTCATACCTTTCCCAAGGGTATTAGTACTTACGTACCCTTAGGTATGAATCCTCTTCTTCTCCCCCCAGCTATGGATAAATAACAGGACAGACCGAGTTTCTACAGCCTTGGATGTCAAACGGTCTACCGCAGAAAGAAATGGCAACCTACTGCGGGTAAAAAAAATCTGCCTGGTCATGCGTGTATTACGCATGGCACATAACTGACTGATTATATGGTTAAAAGGGGGGTATATTATGGCCCTGGAGGAGTATATTTTAGCATAGCCCGTATTGTACACAGAGGTATCAACTGGCCTAGAGTAAATTATAACAAGGGTTTGGTCGATTTTGATTAACGGCATACC